AAAGCGAGTTCTTCAGCGATCACTGAACATGCTCAGTGTATTGATCGCTGGAACTGAAAATACAGAAACTAAAATACATCGAAAGGAAAAAGAGATTATCATCAAATCACTGAGAGAGAAGATCAACACATGTATTGTGAGTTACACGTGATTTATTTTAAAAATGGTTGCATGCCTTATTATCTAAAAGTTGTTTGAAGTTTCTCAAGATTTTTGATATGCTATACATGCGTGAAAAGTTCGATATTTTTATAATTTGTGTCAATAGGGATGTACTACGGTATGATTTTGTAAAGACGAGCATGCTTGGTGAGCTTGTCTAAGCCGTAAGTGCGGACATGCTGTGTTAGTTCGCCAGGTAATGCTATGTGAGGTAGACATCTCCCATGACGCCGTTGCTTTGTGATGTAGACATGCATTATAATATCTTTACTTTGTGAAAAGTATTATTCTCATCAAGGCATGCTAATTTATGAAGCTTCGTGAAAATTGTTTATTGTAAAAGTTGTTGTTCATGCATGAAAACCATGGATTCACTGGGCTTAAAGCTCACCCAAAACTTTTTTAAAACTTTTTACCCAGGTGGCTTTTGAGTGGAAAGAAAAGTGCAATAAAGAGAGAAAGATTAGCTCCATAGAAGGATATGTGCACATCAACACATTGTTATATAGAGCAAAGTTATGCTCCTCAGGATTGTAATTTAGATGGTGATATAATTTGTAAGACTATAAATTTTATTTCCGCTGCAATGTAAGTGATTGATCTTGGGATACTAGTTTTGTTATATTTAAGTATTTGAAAATTTGGGATGTTACACGTACCGTTTGATTTTATAAACTCTATATTGATCTGAGAAAGTCGAAACAACAATGTATCGTACAAGTGAATGATGAGCGATTAATGCACGTCCAACATCTACCTTTGAGTATCGTTTCTTTTTCAAGTCGTGGTATCGATCATGTAGTTGAAGTTATAATATCTTTCACGCCAACTATAAAGTGTTAAATCAGTTTGAAATATTGAAAGAGACATAGACGGAAGATAAAAACACTAAAATTTAAATGGTTTCTATTTCCTTAATAAACTTTCATGGATGGATTACCAAAAGGGCTTCCATCTCTAAGATATTGTCTAGATACAAAATTTGAGGGGCTTGTTAAACAACCACGTTGTTGTTAGGTTTTAAACAAACAAATTTAAGGTGAGTAACTATAGTGGTTGGTAATTTATTTGTTTTATAAAGGTATCACAGTCCGAAGACGCTACTAATCAATATTAAACCTTCTTTTTTAGTGTACCATTTGAAGTCATTTTGATGTAAATAGATGTTGCTAGATGGAACTAAATGTTGTGGTCAGTAGTTTATTTGAGTAGCCTTGGAATGATTTGACATCAATCATTTGCCGATTGATTTGTTGGACCCAGCTGAAATGCCTTCATCTTTATGGGTATTTTCATTCATTTCAATATTGTCCTTTTCTTTCTAGTTAACAGATCCATGATATATATATATATATATATATATATATATATATACACTTGGGATCATGTGAGACCAGCTTGTTTTCGTGAGACCAGTGAGACCAACATTTTACACTTGAAACTTCACAGCAAAATGCTGTAAATGTGACTTTTTAAAACCTTCACAGTGTTTTTGCTGTGAAGATTCGACTTTTTTTAAACTTTCACAGTGTTTTTGCTGTGAATGTTACGTGTAAAAATATGGTCTTACGGGTCTCACGAAAACAGGCTGGTCTCACGTGAACCCA